TATTGAAATTAAATAGCACATATCGAAAATATAAAGAATACCACCAAGAACATAAATATTCTATAGTGAGTTTATAAGACATATCTCTTCATGAATTAAAAAGGTTTTATATGTTATAAGTTATAACACAAACGTAGTGATCGTTAAGTTTTGTATTTAATTAATATCATTAATTGATAGCATGACAAACAAATAATTTAAAAGATAATTTTTTGAATGAATTGGAATTTTTATTTTAGTTTATAAATTTTAACAATTAAATAAGACAGGCATGTTTGTTACATAATAATAATAGTGGTTTCATTGGTCATACCATTTACAGAACAGGCCCATTGTTGTTCAATGCCTTTACGAAAGTAAAGTTTATATTGCTCCTGGTACATTTAGAGGCACATTTGCCCACAATCTCAAACCCGGCGTACAATCCCTTTAGCTTTTTAAGGCCAGTACTACTCGCGCACGCAGTCTGTCCGTCGGCCATCCATAAGCCGGTGTCCCAAATGGCGTCGCCATCGCAAGGACCGCCAGAAATCACTCCGCACTCCATGTACGCAAAGTTACCTTGTTAATATAACCAATTATGAGATTAATTATTAAATCGGTTATTGATATAATAATGGTTATAATTAGGTCATGAAAATACAAACCATTATTCAGACTATAAATTCCGGTATGTTGTGGAGAGTATAGCGGCACCGACACATTACCCTGGTGACCACTGAATGTAACGTTGTTATCGAAGCCCCCGTACCCGTAACAGGCATAGGGTTTGGTGATCGTGTCGTTGTATGTTATTTCCGTTAGATATGATCCCGAATCACATTCATAGCTCTCGATGTCAACCATTTGGTCGATTACCAGGGCTGACGAGACTACGAGCGCAACAATATTAATATTAACACCATTACCAATAAATAATAAATAATTTTATGTGTTAAACTTACAAATTGATGTAGCAAGGTTTGGGTAATTTTTGGGCAGTAAATCTGATCAAACAAAATATAAAATATATATATTAATATTTAACAATTTATTAATTATAACCTACTTTTGCAATAAGCCTGGCCACTTCCCAGCGGATTTCCAATGGGTTTCACCAGGGATTGAGAACTCAAACTAATGCAAACACTCAATACAATTATTAAACTGTTCATCATTTTATAGTTTAAATTATTTTTAAATTGTTAGATTTGAAATTACTTTCAATTGTTACAAATTTAATGCTAATATTACACTCTTTTCGTCTGTATTTATAGTTTTAGTAAATGCTCGTGAAACTAATACTAAAATTAATAATTGATTTATCCATGTCAAACAAATTATTGATTAATTGTTAGAAAATACTTAAACTAGAAAATAGTTTCATGATTTAATGTGCAAATCATTGTCGTGCACATGTTTACAATACTGTATACTTTTATAACAGAATTCTCATATATTTAGCATAGTGTTTTATGAAACATTAGATGCTTTTGACACATTTTGCAATATTAATGATCCATGTTATGATGTACAACTAACTTTAATTAATTATTTAAAAACTATAGTATAAAATGTCCTAGTATATTTATTGAAATATGTAATCGATGACATATAGAAGTAATGCACATATTTCACTGGGAAATTTATTAATTGTACCTCGGTTTAAGCGTATAAATTTACTTCTACATGTCTTTCTTGGTGATATTCTTTAATATAGTTTTTAAGCCAGGACATAGTATTTATTTTTCCGGGTATAATTGTTATAATTAATTATGCACTTAACAGGTTTAAAAGTAATATACAATTGTACAAACAAACAAATTATATTATTAATAGAGATTTGAATCAATCTTGGTCATTTCTAAATTTTAGATAATTTTTAAAATTTTGAATTAGTAAATCTATGATTAAAATTTTATTTTAATTAAGTATATAAACTTTATAAGATTTTTAATCAATCATTAATGTATTATATAATTTACAATTTTTTATATGATATTAAAATTAAAGTTTTAAAAGCTTTATTTAAGAAACAATTTTTAAGTAATCATCTTAACTAATTTTCACAAATATAAAATATATTATTATAAAAGCATTTAATAATATTGTCACATTTGATCTTTTTACATTTTAAAGCAATTATTTCATGTCTAAATCTGTTTTACGAGTAAATATAAGTTTTTATATTTCGCATATCTTGTATTATAAATTAATCTTGGCTGTTCATTTAAAAATAAGTTTATTTAATTAACTTAAAATAATAAAAAAATAAATGTATTATTTTTTGTATTATCATAATTAATTACTCGTACTTATAAGTAATTATAATTAATTATAATCAGTTATTACATTTATTTAACAAATTATGTTTATTTTAAAGTTTTATTTTTAAATTAGTTTAAGTTTATTGTACCCAGTTCATTACATCATTGATGGGAAATTGATTTATTTACAACTACTCATATATGTGTAGTTTTGAAGTTTTTTAATGTTGATATCTGAAATATAAATAATATGCGTTTTTTACAAATGTTTTTATATAATTTGTTTAAAATATAATTTTTTAAAAGGTCAATTAAGTAATAAGCAATTTAAAACTAAAATAAATTTCTTTGCAAATTTATTAAATAAAATTTGGAACAGTATACTAGTACAGTATAATCATTGTATAATTTATACAAGTATTAATACAATAATATAAAACTCTATGGCCATCAATTTACCTTAATATTATATGGCACATTATTTGGAAAAAGTAACTAATTTTTATAATTCCTAAAATATATATTTTTAAATTTATACTTGTGAATACTGAATTACCAAATAAATGTACTGTAACCTGTAAACAATGAAATAAAGTAAACAAATTTTTGAATGAATTATTATTTATTTATTTTAGTTTTAGAATTTAGCTTTCTTATACAAGGGAATACCAAACTTTGAATACTACCAAACATAATAATAATAATAATTTGATTGATCATAACCACTAAACAACAGGTCCATTGTTGTTTAATGGGGTTACAAAAGTAAAGTCGATACTGGTACTGGTACATTTAGAAGCACATTTGCCCACAATCTCAAACCCTGCGTACAATCCCGATAGCTTTTTAAGGCCAGTACTACTCGAGCACGAGGTCTGGCTATCGGCTATCCATAAGCCGGTGTCCCAAATGGCATCGCCATTGCAGGGACCGCCAGATATCACTCCGCACTCCATGTACTCGAAGTTACCTTGATAATTTGCACAATAATTGAATTCATTATTAATTCGGTTATTGATATAATAATGGATATGATTAGGCAAAGAAAGTACAAACCATTATTAAGGCTATAAATTCCTGTATGTTGTGGTGAATATAGCGGCACAGACACATTACCCTGGTGACCATCGAAAGTGACGTTGTTTGTGAAGCCCCCGTACCCGTAACAAGCATAGGGTTTGGTGATTGTGGCGTTGACTGTAATTTCCGTTAGATATGATCCCGAATCACACTTATAGGTCTCGATGTCAATCATTTGGTCGATTACCAGGGCCGACGAGACTATCAACGCAACAATATTAATATTACCACCATTACCAAATTATCGGCACACTTGTTATAAGCCAACCATTTGAATCGAGTACATTTTTTATTTGTTTTAACATTTGACTAAAAGTATTTAGTGCTTATGAATTGTGCTCGTTTCAAACACGTTGTTTATAGTAGATATGCAGAAATAATAGACATTTACTTTTAAATACTTACAAACTGATGTAGCTAGAGTTGGATAATTTTTTGGCAATAAATCTGATCAAATAAAACACAAAATATTTATTAATATTTAATAAATTATTATTGATAACATACTTTTGCAATAAGCCTGGCCACTTCCCAGCGGATTTCCACTTGGCTTCAACAGAGATTGAGAACTCAAGCCAATGCAAACACTCAATAGAAATATGAACTTGCTCATCATTTTTATTGTTTGAATTACTTGTGAATTTTTAGATTTGAAATTACTTTCAATTGTAACAAATTTAACGTTAATATTACATTCTTTTCGTTCGTATTTATAGTTTAGTAAATTTTAGTAAAACTAATACTAAAATTAATCATGTCAAACAAAATTTTTATTAATTGTTAGAAAATACTTACAATAGAAAATAGTTGTATGATATAATGTGCAATGCATTGCTTTACTGTACACAATATACTGTACAATGTTTTACAGATTTATCATAAATTTAGCATGGTGTTTCATGAAACATTAATCACATTTTACACATTTTTGCAATATTAATCATTCATGTTAGGATGTATAGCTTTAATTAATTGTTAAAAAGACAATAGTACCAAATGTCCTAGTTTATTTATTGAAGAATGCAATTAATGACATATAAAAGTAATGCATACATTTAACTCATTTAATTAGGAAATTCATATATTATACTAGTTTAAGTGTATTTTACTTTTACATGTCTTATTTAGTATTCCTTAATAAATAAACTAGGACATTGTGTTCTATTTTCCGGGTTCACTTGTTTTCATTTATTATGGGCTTAACAGGTTTAAAAATAATGTCGTTTTGTTTCATTATAATTTGAACATAAACAATTAAGATTAATTGTAAAAATATTACTCTTGCACTATTTAATTCAAACAAATTGATTCTATAATGTATAGGGATTTTTATCAATTAAGATTATTTTTTAAATAGTAAATAATTTAATGTAATATAAATTATCCAATTTACCGTTAAAGTATTTTAATTAAGAATTAAAGTTTATGACATACTATGTCGTGGCAATGAATAATCAAGGTGTTGTACCTTTTAAAATTATTTAATTTAATACCTGTATGAAATAGAGATTAAAACTTTAAAAATATTATTTATTAAAGTATTTTTAAATGATCATTTTAACTTATTGTTTTTGTAGTAACTTAATATTAAATCTGTTATGACTTTGTGCTACTAAAATAGCTGGATCAACATCTAATGAAATAGTAGTTTCATTAAGCAATTTAATTTCATAATCACGAGTCAACTGAATAAATCTGACCAGGATTAAAAACAAGTTATTTATTGCTAATTGTTCACCAGGGCAAATTCGACGTCCAGTATTAAATGGTATAAATGCCGGCGGTTTAACACTATTGCATTTTCCATTAATATCCAGAAAACGATCAGGGCTAAATTTATCAGCATTTATCCAGTTTTTCTCATCCGTTAAAATATATGCTTGATGGCCTACTACATACGTTTTCTCTGGAATAGGATATTTGTCACCTAGTATCATAATAATTTAATTAACTATAAAAAAACTTGTTATATTTTAAAGCAAATACTTAATTTAGTAGATTGTATAGCGCTATGAAATAGGCCAAAGGGTGCGGCATTTCTGTACCGTAATGTCTCGAATACAAACGCCATGCAATAATCCAAATGACCTTTGTCACTTATTGTTGCGATACGGTCATTGAGTTTACTATTAATTTCATCACGCAACTTTCGTTGAATATCCGGGTAATATGTCATTAATAATATCATCCATTGAAATGTGGTGCTTGATGTTTCTGTTCCAGCTATGGATTAAAATGCAATATTTAATAAATCTTAATTTATTTTTAAACACAATTACCTAAAAACAAATCGATCATAACCAAGGTCAGATTTTCATCCGTGTAATACTGGGCCGACTCCCTGTCCTCACTACTGGCGTTCAGTTTAGTGGCAATGAGTACATCACAAAAGTCTCGGTTTACGTCTTTATGGTATGTATTCTCATGTGTTTTGTATATATTTTTCGTGTAGTCTTTAATTTCATTGTAATATTTCTCATATAAATCCAATGGATTTTTCATAAATAAACGTAAAAAAGGTATGAATTCATGTAAATATAGTCGGTTTCCTTGCTCCTCTAAGAAATCAGTTAAACAGTACTTAAACTTTTGTAAATCCTTTTCGTCAAACCTGGTTAATAAACATCACGTTATTTAGTGAAAATCTAGATTATCTAGTTTAATTAGTTATTACTAGAGTAGCAAAACAGGCTAATAGTTGCGCGAGATTCATATTAAAACATTGAGTTTTTGGTAAATGAAAATATAATTTTTATAGTAAATTTCAATTTTAAAAATCCGTACATATTGCAAAGATTTAACAACTTTTACCAAGAGTATATCTGTATTAAAGACTTGGATTTTATTTAGAAAAATTATAATTTTTTGATTAAATTAATCGCTAAATTACAAACAAATGGTCACAAATTTTTAAATTAAAACCGAATAATAAACCAAAATGTAGATAATTCAAATCTCTATTAATGTAAAATTTTTACAAATTTTTGCTAACTTACAGCACCTGGAGGAAATGGCGATTTTATTCTAACATTACTACAAGGTTCAGGGTAAAATTAATTAGCACGTTGGATAGATCTCCAAGAATGAAATACGCCTGCTTTTAAATTTTTCAAATATCTCATCAAATGACTGTTCTGGAGCATCGCAAAGATTGCATTTTACCATTGATTACTGCCATAGACAATTACTGCAACAAATAACAAATTCTAAATCTTTTTCAATGGCAGTAATCAATGTTAAAATGCAATCTTTGCGATGCTCCAGAACAGTCATTTGATGAGATATTTGAAAAATTAGTCATACAAACGCGTATAAAATCGTGTTAAATAATATGCCACCAAAAATATTAATATTGTAGTCCAGAAGTTATCCCACAGGTAACTATTTAGCACATTTATTAAACTCATTTTTATTTTATATACAGTTTTAAAATAAAATTTTAATTATAGTATTTTAAACAATTTGTGTTTTGATACTATTTTTAAAACTTTTTTTTCACATTTTATAACAAAGTTACATTAATTTCTGAATTCCAAACGCATTTATTTCAGTAATTAAATTCACAAACCAGATTCTAGTATGAACTTTCTAGTGTCAAGGATTGTTTGTAGACAAGGTTGTTTACAACCAGTTTTGAGGGTACAAAGAGTGTGTATTTAGTTTTAAAGTTATTTGAACTCAATGTGAAGTTAAATTACATTGATATAGAAAGGTGATTTATTTTACAATTTGTAAGTTCATTATACTCTGAATTTAGGGTAACATTGGCGGAGTTGGGCCATAGGATAGAGCATATAATGTTATATATTATATTATAGTTTGTATGGGAAGTGGGTTGTAGTTATCGGAAAGGTATATAAAATGGTAAATGTATTCCCTTTTTATTGTTATAATTTTTATTTTTGTAGTACTTTAATAGTAAAATTTGTCGGATTTTGTACTAATAATACAGCTGGGTCAGGTTCTAAAATTGCTTCAGTTTCATTAAGCAATGTCATTTTATAATCATGGGTCAGCTGAATAAATCTGACCAGGATTAGGAACAGGTTATTGATTGCTAATTGTTCACCAGGGCAAATGCGGCGTCCAGTACTAAACGGTATAAATGCCGGTGGTTTAACTGTATCAAATTTTCCATGATTATCCAGAAATCTATCAGGGTTAAATTTGTCAGCGTCTGTCCAGTTTTTCTCATCCATTAAAATACATGATTGATGGACAACAAGGTAGGTATTCTCCTTTATAGAATACTTGTCCCCTGTTGTATAAAATAATAAATAATTAATATAAATGCATGCATGCTATAACTTATTATCTATTTATTGTACCAATAATTGTGGGTTTAATAGCCCTATGAAATACACCAATAGGCGCAGCATTTCTATACCGCAGTGTCTCGCAGATAAATGCCATTACGTAATCTAAATGAGCTTTGTCACTTATTGTTGCAATACGGTCATTGAGCTTAACGGTAATCTCATCACACAACTTTTGATGCATTTCAGGGTTAATGAGCATTAATAGTATCATCCATTGAAATGTTGTGCTTGATGTCTCATTTCCAGCTATATTTTCACATAAAGTATAAAATAAAAAACAAAATTTACTTTTTGAATTATTTGTAAATTAAAAACTTATTAAATAATTTGTAATCAAATAATCAGCAATGAAAAACTTTCAATTCACAAATATACATAAAAATACAGAATGATATGTATAATATATTACAAAACCAAATATTTTAAATAATAATTATACCTGAAAACAAGCTGACCATAACCGAGATTAGATTTTCATCCATATAATACTGGGCCGACTCCCTGTCCTCACTAATTGCATCCAATTTAGTGGCAATGAGTACATCACAAAAGTCTCGACATTTATTTTTATCGTATGTCTTCTCATGTGTTTTGTATATATTTCTCGTGTAGTCTTTAATTTCATCGAAACATTGTTCAAATAGTTTATACGGATATTTCATAAATAAACGCAAAACGGGTACGAATTCATATAAATATAATCTGTTGCCCAGGTCCTCCATGAAATCAGTTGAACAGTATTTAAACTTTTGCAGATCCTTTTGCTCGAACCTGGATAATGAGAAATTATTTAATATAAATTAATTGCATATTAAAACTAGATTTATCTTTAAGCAAAACTGTACTTAATCATAAAAGTGTATTTGTTTAAAAACTTTAAGAGATTTATTTTAAAATCAAGGTGTTGCCACTGGACACAAGTTTCAAATAAACAGGGCTAAGTTAATATTTTTAATAAAGTAAATAAATATAAATAAATAAATAATTATTTTTATTGTTAATAAAATTTAAAGCAATTTTCTAAATTAATACATACTTTTCACTAAAAACGGTCTGTCCCAATACATGGGCAAACATATTGAAAACATAGTTATGAGTCGTAAACGGTTTATCGAAACCCTCTCTTCTGATCATTAGTTCAATCATTTCCGTTACACTCGAGTCCACTATTTTCGATAAGTTATCACTTTTTGCATATTTCCTAAAATATAACATTTTCTGTATTTATTATGATTTTATTAAAAGTACATAAATTATAAAAAGATAAAATAAGGCTCACTTAATCGTTGTATGTGCCACCCGTCTTAAACTATCCCAACATTTTAGATTTTGGTTGAAAAATATTTCCTGGTGCTTTTCATTGCATATAATATTGCCTATAGTTTTACATATTTAAATACAATTAGACATAATTATTTGTAAAATACCTATAAGTGATACACGGATAAACGTTATTTGTCCTACAACTTTATATTATAACTTATATAAATTTAGTTAACTTTTAAGTATAATTATTATTGTATGAACATATAAACTGTATACCAAATTGAAACTCCGGTCGACCCGTTAGTTCCCATTTGCCAAATGCCTCCCGAGCTATATCCAGGTCACCAATGAACACAAATGGGAAAGGTCCTATCCATACGGTAATCACTGGGCCATAAATTTTATGTAATTTTATAATCTCCAAATTCCAGTGTATTTTATAGTTTCTAAATACTATTATGAAATAAATTAAAAATTAATTTGTTTAGAAAATAATATAATAATAATACAATTAAAGTTGACATTAACTCAAAATATTTCCAATGAGTGGTAGTGGCAGTGGACCAGGGGGATAGTCATACAAACGTATATAAAATCTTGCTAAATAATATACCACCAAAAATATTAATAAAGTAGTACCGATGTTATCGCATACATAACTATCTAGTACAGATATTAAACTCATTTTTAGATCATATTATAGTTTTTCACAAAGGTATTTAAATAATTAAACAGCCACAAAGTAACTTTTATAAAATAAAACTTTTTCTTATGTTTAGACAAAGTAACACTAATCACTTAATCTAAATCATATAACATGTATACTAACATGTAAGTTAAAGTTATAAGTACAAGGTTTTCTGTAGACAAGGTCAATCATAACCTGTTTTACAGTTAAATTGTATTGATTCTTTATGTAATTGCAATGTTTTTGTCATTAAATGAAATTGATATACAATGTATATTTTTGGAGTCTTATTTGAAAACTTCTTTAACATTATACTCTAAAATATAATTGTAGGGAACTCGATGTTTTCACAATTAATGATTGAATATTAGATAAAGTAGTTGAGCAGGGAGTCGTAAATAAGTTTGAGGTTATATCTTTAAAAATGTATGTGAACGTGTAAACAGTTTTTAATTTTAGTATTTAATTTATTAACTTTAATATTTAATTTGTGCTGATTGTAGTAAAATAAATTGTATTAATGTAATTTTATTATAATATAATATATTATATATTTTAAAAGATATTCTTGAAAACTTAAAATATAATAAACTTAATACTGTAAAATAATTTATTTTAAAAATATTTTATGGGAAAATATTTATTAAAAATCAAATTATTTTATAATTTTAAATAAATAAAATTTTGATAATATGTGTTAATAGTGTTAATATTTATTATAATTAAACTTTAACTAATAAGGTATATCTAGGAAACACTGGTTAAAACAAATATAATTACTAAAGCATAAATTATTACATATTTTATTATAAATAAAATTATGTAATTGCAAATAAAATTTAGTGTGAGTGAGTGGGTGAGACACACACACACACACAGAGAGAGAGAGAGAGAGAGAGAGAGAGAGATTAAATAATTGATTAATTATCAAGTTGGTAATCTTTGATGACCAATGATACAATGATAAATCTTTATACCGCGTAGCTGTAGATGACCAGTATAAATTACCTTTCATAAGCCAAATCATGTCAATTACATATCTATCTAGCAAGGGGATTTTGTGAACTTTCAAATTATCTCCATACTTAATGATCATGCTCATTGCCTTATCAATTAATGTCACAATTTTATCAGCCGCTGTCTGAGCGTTACAATTGTCGCAATGCATTATGATATAAATGAGCGTAAATTTGCCCTGGTGCTGCAATATTTCCTTCTTTGCTGAGAAAATATCATTGGAATAGTAGAAGTATCTAGTACACCATTCGTTAAATAGTCTCCAATCATCATTGTTGACAACATCAGGATAATTAGCAGGGTCAAACTTTAAATAACCAAAAATAAACAATTGCATGACTTCGTAGCCAACATCAATGATCCTATGTTAAAATATTTACATACACTTTCTTACTCCAAAAATGAGGTGATCAAATTTATTATATTAAATGAACCATTTATCTCTGCTATCATATGATGTATTGTTTCACATTATAGCAGTCACTTGAGCGCAGAGTTAACTGGTAAATTTTGTATAATTTTTACAGAGATTACTGATAAACAGATACTTTACCTTATTTTATCGTATTCATCGAGAGTTTGAATATCATTGCCCTCCTTAATTTGTTTTGTCGTATAATTTAAATCAAGATACTTCATATACCAATTGTTATGTACTTGGATTAATTTCGGAGTGAGCACCTTGTTCATCATACCAATTAAAACATTTAAAAACTTATCCAGATAACCCGATTCATTTGAGTAGCCTTGGTTGATAACTACTCTCCATTTTCTAAAGTTTAAAATGATTATCATTATTATTGAATAATATACAAACCCCATAAATACATACTCAATAAAATGAGCCTGATAAGTTGTTTGCTTATCTAGAAAATCATCCAGGAACAACGCCCATGCATTCCACGCGCTAATTACCATTAACTCATCTTGGTTAGTTATATTAGGGAACGACAGGGTCACTGCATTCGACATATCCTGTATATCTTTATGAGGCTTTCCCATACACTCACTGATAATGGTCTCCAACAGTGCCTTAGCGTTGGGCACATGTATGTTATGCTCAGTTACCTCGACATTAAGACCACGGACTTCGAAATCTATAATCTGATCGTTCATATCGTCTCTCTGTACAATATTATCGTTATTATCTTTGACCATGGTTGATGATAACTATAATGTTAATTTGTAAATTATTTTTATTGTAAATTTTAGTTGATTTGAACGTTTTAATGGAAAAACTGCAATCGAGTAGATTTAATTAAATACATTTCTTTTTATATAAAGATTTGTTGCGTATATACAGTATAAATAGAGTATTATATAATTACTCAATTTTTAAAATAATGTTTACAATGTGGTAATGTTTGCAATAATAATACTGTAATAATGCTGATTACATAATATATATAATCATTATATAACATGTTTTAAACACTATCAATGAATTATAACAATTAAAATATGCTCTAGAAATTGTAGTAATAATATTGGTAATAAAATTTTGTTATCACCACAATATTCTAAAATGTGTTGACTGACCCCTAATTGTTACTTGATATAATGGTACATGAAACCAATAACATGTTTATTTGATTGCAGTACGGTCATAAAATTGTAATTGCTTCCAAACTTCGTTTATTTTATTACAAATTTATTTGTTTTTATGTTACTTATTAATATATGATACACTGTAAAATTTTAAATAACAAATAACCAATAGTTTTAATAAGTTAAATTGACTTCTAATTAAGGTTGATTCATAATTTTTTATTTTAATAATTTAGTAATGCCATGTAGAAATTCAAGGTGCATACTTACTATTAATTTAAATTGAAAAATAATTTTTAGATATATTTTATTTGATTAACTAAANTTTAAATTGAAAAATAATTTTTAGATATATTTTATTTGATTAACTAAACAAGTAGCAGGTTAATATAAAATTTAAACTTGTTTAAAATATCTATAGCCTAGAGGTTTTCTACAATTAATACAAAATAGTTAAAAGTAAATTTTTTAAAAGTTAAACTATTAAAGTAAACTTGTAAAACTCGATTAATGTGATGTTGGCGTTATTCTAGTTAATGTAATTATAGTACATTTAGCCACAAGGTTAATGTGTCAAAACTATTTTTATAAACCATCTGCATTATGTACTTCATATAAAATTGCGAAAATATTTAAACTTAAATTTTTTTAAACATTTGTTTGATTTCACATTTTTTAAATTTTACTATAAATACTTGTAAAAACATATTTTTAGATTTTATATCTCACTCATCAATTCAAACATGACTTATGAAACAGAAATTAAAGAATTTTCCGAAACATTCAACAATATATTGGCGGCTATTGTGCCGACACAACCACCCGAGGAGTTGTCAGACATGTATTTATGGCTCAAAGAATGCATTCTATATAACGTCCCGCACGGCAAACGCACCCGAGGGCTGGCAGTTGCGGCAACATATAGCTTAATTGTAGAGCAACAAGGTAAAACCCCATCATACACTGACA